GTCAATCATTACGGGCTGCGCAAGCGCCTACGACCCACTCCTTCCTTCTCCTCCATTTCCACCCTTTTCGCCCTTCAGCCCCCTCGTCGCCACGTTTGTTTCGCTCCTTCCCTCTTGCTCTTTCCGCCAGCCGCGTCTCTCGCTTCTCCTTCGAATCGTCCTCTCGTCCATCTCTCTCTCTCTCTCTCTCTCTCTCTCTCTTTCACCTTCTCGTTCATCCCCTTCGTTTCCCTCAGTAGCGAGTTCACCCCGTTGCTCCGTGCTACAAGCACGCTACAATGCTGCCCGTTGCCGCCGCCGCCGCCGCCCATCCTGCATATTTAAGCGAGCTGTCTTGCTATGCAGCCATCCGCACCACCACCTACGTACGTGCCGACCGCCCGACGACCGTTCTCCACCATCGTCGACCGCCACCCCCCCAACATCCACTCCACTTTGCCACGTTCGCTTTGCTTCGTCGCTCTTGTCCAGCCAAGCCATCGCTCTACGCGCGTTCGTCTAATCACGGATTAGATATTTCGTAGAAAGGAATACTGGAAAGACTGAGAAAGACGAGGCTAGAGGACGTATAAACGGAACTGAAACGAAGAAGAAACAAAAAACTCTTCGTCTCGACGAGGACTGAACCTGAATTTATCACCTAGCGGAGCATCCGGTGTTCTTCGTGAATTCCATTCACGCCGGTGGAAACGATAGCGTGGCATCCGAAACACAACCCTCAGCGATAGAACTTCACCTCCGGCGAAGTGAAACGGCACACGTCCTCGAGCGCCACCAACGGCGGGGGTGGCGAAACAGCGTACCGTAGGCGAATTTGCCAGCGGGGCATGCGTGTAGGTTTGGCGGCGCGACCAGTCTGTTCTGCCGGAGGGGTGGTGGATCGCTTGGCGCGCGCGGAGGACGCCGGAGGAACGACGAAAGGGTGGTATAGCCCGGTGGTGGCGGATGGTGGGGAGGCGGCGGTGGTGGTAGAAGCCCGGGGGTTGCGTTCTGCCGGCGGGGGTGGTAGTCGCGCAAAACCGGAGGGTCGCCCACGGCTTCGCTCGGCTCGTTCACTCGCTCGTGCTCGCTCGCTCGCTTACGCCGCTATCGGCTGGCCGGGGGTGTTTCCATGGATACGGCGCTCGCGCCTTGACATTGACAAATGGCTGACCGAGGGTGAGCCGAACACAGCGCCGCTTTTACATATGCAGGGACACCCATTTGTCCGCGCGGGGGTGCGACGTGGCCGGTGGACGTTTGCGGACGGAGAAAGAAACACCGACGGAGAGGACGCCGACGACGACCGTTTCCTACTACGACCGCTGCGTCGCCTAACTAACTCACGACTCTCTCCAATCTGCCTGCCGCGCGTGTGCGTGCGTCGCATGCGTGCCGTTCGCCGTGAGACCAGAACGATCGTCGAACGACGATCGGTTGGTCCCGATACCGCCGCCGTTGGTTAACTGTTAATCTTTTGTAATTGATACGCCGCGCGGCACATCCGTGGAAAATGTTGATGCGACCGCGTGAGCCAGCGAGCGAGCACGCCGCTGAGTAATGAATTAGGGGATGAATTTAATCTTGGAATGGCTGGCTGACTGGTCGGCTTGCACGAGGCCACGTCGAGTTTGTTTACCTCGTTATTTTTCGGGGACAGGGTGGGACGAACGTGCTCGAAATGGGGAAATTCCTGTCACTGTCGGAGCTGGTTGATCGTGGAGACACTGCGTTGCCGGTTTTTTTTCGGATTCGCGGATTTTTTTTTTTTTTTTTGTCACCGTCGAACCACGCTCGCGTGAAATGTTAATACGCGTAATGTCGCGCTCGCGCGGCTCGTTGGACAGAAAGAACGGGTAAATTGATGTTTATTGAAGGATGACGCTGTCCATTGTCTCGCGCAGCGCTCTCGATCTCGCACGGGAAGACGGACGATGAAAAATAATGCTGGCGAAGCGAGAATATGTTCACCGAGACCGAGCGTGAACGTCGCTTTAAGAGATAAACGTGTAGCTGACGCTGGCTCGCTGATCCAATCGTCTCCGCTGTGCCATGAAGCGCGCAGTTTTCGTGATTTCAGTTTTGCGCCGAGTTCTACCGCTAACGATCCTTAATGAATCGTGTTCTCTGGTCTTGGACTGTTTCCTCTTTCGTCAAACGTCATTTTCGCAGCAGCTTTTGTTTCTTTTTCATCTGGACGCGGAAAGAACCGCGGGCACACGTGCAACTCGTAGTAAAACTTGTAACTGTCGAAGCTTCAATGAACGACGAATCGTGGTATCGGGGAATTTTTCGTTGCATCGTGCGACAGTTAATCTCAATTAATGCGTACAGAATTTTCTAGATATCGTCAGAACTTTCTAGATATCATTGTGAAGAAATCTGTTTTCTAAATTTGGAATAGTTGTAAATAAAGGTAACGGTTCGTTCTAACAGCCGCCACGCTCGATCACGGTTATTAATTAAAAACAAGTTTGTTGTTATGTTTTTCTGTTACTTTTGCTGTTATGTTTAGCGTCCTTTAAGAACGGTTGATACCGATCGTCCTTAAAGATATTTGAATTCGATGGCACGTCAGTTCACCTAGGTGAGGGCAATCGAACGGTCCGTACTTTAGATTGCTCGGTTATAACTCGCCAGTCAACTATAAAACGTATAAAACAGACCTGACGCCAGGGAAGGACAATGTCAAAGTGTGTCAAACTGTGTCGAATCGAAACAGGACCGACGCAGAATCGGTAAGTGTCGACAATAATTCAGTTGAACGAAATCGCCGGATCCCCTTTTTCATCTATCAAGTAAAAACTACGGGTATCGACCGATATCAACGCGACATTAATTTCGAGCACAGACATCAAACGAGTCGCTCCCAGCCACAAGCGGATCGATAAATACAATAATAATACAGATTTCGCGAATTAAAGACATGGAAATACATAGTTTCTTCAAACGTTATAAAATTGCAGAAACAAGTGAAAAGATAATGATAATAAATGTCATAAAATTATGTTGAAAAACGAATTCAATGGCACACGGAATTTAATTGGCCTATTTGGTTAGCTTTGTAAGGACGTACCAATTTGGCGGATGATAAATCGTCTCGTCAAGATATTCTTCTCGGAGAGAGGCTCGTCTCGACTTTCGTGGCTCTCGGATTGGCAACTTGGCGCGCAAAGACATCGAAGAAAACAACATCCTAATCGCGTCCCAGGAGAGAAAACGATACCAGCCCCTTACCAGCGCTCCCTAATAATGACCCTCGAGCTCGTACAGCATAAACGGCCGCCTATCGCGCATTACTACCCCGAAGTGGCCACTCCCTTCTGGCAGGCCAGCCTCGAGTCTAATATCTCATTACCGCGCCACTAGTCAGCCGTACCGTGCTGCCATTACGAGATTGTTTGCTCGCGAGGCCTCTCGTCTAATGTATTGCCGACTTCCTCAACGCGTTCACCCGTGTCTGACGTTCGTTCGACTGACTATCGCTACAATCATGCCGATTTCCAGAAAAAAATCTTTCCCAATCTTCGACGGCTTCTATTCGTCTTGAGAAAGACCTCGGTACTTTCGTATTTGTCTCAGACAGGATTTCCACGTTGGGAAAGACTCTTTTTTTACGGAGAGTGTAATTTTAGCTTACTTTGCTACTGCATCAGCGAACTGTACTTGCACGCCTCGCGAGCCAAGCGAGAGAATAAAAGGAAAAGGAAAGGGGAAACAATCGAATCGCGGGGAAACGGAGCGTCGCGACAGCTGGAAGAAAGGGGGAAGGGATGATATGGCGGCGTGGGATCGCGATTTGTCTCGTTAGACGGTGGAAAACGTCGACGACAGAGCGTCGAGTCGGCGCTTTCCCAGCTGTGAAAGCCCGCCAGAAAGCATCGACGGCAGCGAAAATAATTGGTGCCTTCCCCCCTTGATTCTCGACACTCGCGTAACAAGGTCCATTTCCATGGAATAACCATCAGCGGTAATTGGCACCTACGGTGGTGGATGCGCGGCCCCCCCTATCATATTTCAGAACGAGCACACCGGACGAACTAAGAGAGGATGGGAAGAGGAGTGGAGGAACGAGAAACGAGGAGGAGGGGAGGAGTGGAGTGCACAGGCAGGAACAGAGGAAGCACGGTCCACGGGGGATGCGGAGGATCGTCGCAAACGCGATGTTTTATACATCGGCGGCATACACCCTTTCGTTTTTCTGTCTGACCGACGGGGGAGGGCCACCCCCGTGGATAACAAAGCCTAGCCATCGACAGCTCGCTAACGACTCTCCGTCGTGTCCACCTTGCCAGGATTCGACGACTCGTGCTCGTCGTGCGCGGCGTCGCTTCAACGCGATTCCACGGCACGTCGGGATCTCGTTTCATTTCGTTTATACGCGCGTCGAATTGTGAAATCGCTGTACGTACAGCAACGGCTGTGGCCCGACCTTGCTGTGGTTGCAGAGTGATGGGGGAATATCCGTGGTTTCCGAGGATTGATGAGGGTGTACAATTAAAATGTGTATCGTAACTTACCTGCTTCGAGAGAGAAAGGAAGGTGAATTTTCAAAGGCTGCGGTTGTTACAGAGCTAACTTTAGTTCTACGCGCAGGTACACTTCGAAGCGGATACTTGGCCATTTCTGTGAGTCGCGTGAAAATTTGAGACGACGCGAGATCTCGTAAATATATATATATATATATATTTCTATAGAGCGAATCTAGAATCGAGAATCAGCCAAGTATTCTTGCAAGTAGACTTCCCGCGGACGGGATAGAAAAGGAACTGGAGCGAAGGCTTGACACTCGGTGATAAAACGCAATGCGCGCGTGATGCTCCACTAAAATCGAAGGACGATTTTCTTCCTCGATGATTCTTTCAGGGCACACCAACCTCGTTCGAAGGAACCAATAAAAATGGCAGAGAAAAATAAGAAGAAAAAAAAGAAAAGGAAAATGAAAGAAACGAGCATCACGCCCGCGTGAACGTATTTACTCGCGAGCGAGTGCGAAATAAAAGACTGGACACAAGAGGACGTACACAAGATGTAGCATTTAATGCTCACGTTTCAAAAAAACACTATACAATGGACACTCTCTAACATAGACCACCTTTGACATCGTCCTTCCTTTCATCGTCATCACGTTTGCGATCCGTGAGTGTTTTGAACACAATCGATCCGGGCCAATTTCACGCGATTGATCGACTCTGTTCCCTCTGCGTGCCCGAGACGCCGTCACGCGCCTCTACGCAAACTGGGGACGCGTGTACGCGCGTGTCCAGGCTCATTCTCTTGTTAACGGATGGACGCGTGTGTGCACGTAGTCCCACGTATACGTTTAATACTAATATTTTACATCGACAGGTATCAGTTTTCCGGTTTTTCCACTGTGTTTTTTGTTCGGCATTCCGCGCGCTCTTTCCCCTGCGTCTCTCTCTCTCTCTCTCTCTCTCTCTCTCTCTCTCGGGTTCACGCGCAAGAAAGAGAGAGAGAGAGAGAAGCGAGAATATACGTAGATCGACGCGGGGGATCGGACGAACATCCTCGCCCGGATTTCTCGAGGGGTCGAAGAAGGAACCACCGCCCCCGTACAACCACACGCGTATCGTAATTTCCGCGTCGTCGCGCTATCACAATCGTGCTGCTGGGAAACAACGATCGAAGAAACGGTCTCCTCTCTTTCCGTCCCGATCTCACGAACACAGAACACAGCTCGATTTTTTTCGATTCGGCATTTTTTTTTTTTTCTTTCTTTCCATTTTCTTCGTTTCTTTTTTCCCTTTTTTTTTTCAATTTCATTTGCCGTTCCTCTTGTTTCTTTTTTTTTTCCTTTTCTACTTCTTTTTTTAAATCTTTTTTTACTTAAGGGTGTCAGTGGGTCGTCAATACGCAAACAGTTGAAAAAAATCTGATTCCATACCGATATAATAAATTTTTAGCTTACTATACACATCATCGTCACCATCAGCATAATCATAATCATCATCATCATCATATATCATCATCAGTATCATCATCGTGGTTATCAGCGCATCGTCATCAGCGTTTATCGTAGTCGTTTTCACCACAGCCGATGATCGTAACGACGATTGATTCGGGATCTTCGGGCTGCCGAACAAATCACCATCTCGTTACGCGATCTCTCGTTACCGACTGTCGTCGTTACGATCATCGTCGCCGACGTCGGCGACGCGATTTACTAACATCGTCGTTCTTTCCATAATTACACGATAATTATACATTACTTTCCCTCCTTTTTTTCCTCTTTTACACGCGCGTTGTCCCATGGTCGTTTCGTATCATTCATTCGCTCGTTCCCCTTTCATTCGCGTATTGCTTTCATGCGTGATAACATTTATCCCTTTTCGAACACACGGTTGTTTCACGTTTTCTCTCTCGCACTCTCTCTCACTCTCTCTCGTGCTCTCGTTGCCCTATAGCCGCTCTCGTCGTCGCTCATAAAATCTTTGTTTTAAGTTTCTTTACCCTCTAACATGATTATTACTTAGATACCTTACTGTTACTTCGTATACATTTTTAAGGCGATGATTCATTCAATTGGGTGAACTCATTTAGAAAACGAACAGCCAATAAACGTCGTCCGTTTGCCGCCGTCTTCACATCCCTTCCGCAACCGTCTGAACGCTGTGTTTCACTATTTTCATTCCCTTTATTTATTTATTTATTTATTTATTTACTTTTTCTTTTGCTTTCACTCGTTCTCTCTTCCTTTCTTTTTTTAATCACGCCGTATACATCTCTCACGCCCCTTGTACAGAAGCCTCTTCTCGTTAATCGATCGTGCGATCCTACTTTTATTTTCCATGCTTCTCTCTTTTTATTTCCTACTTTTTTCCCCCTCTTCTTTTTCGATCCCTGTTCTCCCCTTTCTCTGCTCTTTCACTTTCCTCTTTTCTTCGCCGCGTAACGCGTCGCCGGGCATTTCCACGAAAATATTGATCGCGTTCTCCTCTACCTCCGAGGGTGGAGGATGGTGTGTCAGCCGGCGGGGTAAAAAGACGGAGTCGTGTGCTCGTACGCGAGAACCACGCGAGCCCGTGGACGTGTTGCGCTTTCGCACCCCCTTTCGCAGTGGAAATGCACCGGCCGGGCGTTTCACGTCGTGTCTCCTCCGTCGGACCGTCGTTTTCTCTTCGTCATGAAAAAATAATTTAATCGTCGTTGTCGTAGGCCCCTGGTCGATGGCGAATCGAGACCTATCTCGTATACCGAAAGTCGTTTGAAAAATTGATCACAGACAGAAACGACGGTTCAACCGGCTCCTGACACCTAGCTTCCTTGGGCGTGACGTGTGATTTCGCGATGCTCCTTTCCGGGGATGTTTGTTTAATTTTGTTCACCGATTTCGGTAAAAAAAAAAAAAAAAAAAAGAAAAAGGATTCCCGTGCGTAGAAATTTCTCGTATGCGCGGCGTACGAATCGGCGCGGGATCGCGAACGGCCAGCGGAGCGTGCCTCAACAAAATTAAACAATATATCGTTCAACAAATAGAATTTATAAAAACGCGCCGCTCCGCGGACACGATCGTCCACGATCGCGCCCCTTTTCATCGTTTCAGGCCGCCACCCGCGTTCGCCTCCTACTTGATTGTCTCTTACTTGATAATCGATTATGAGTTGTACGATTGTTCGACAAGCGTCGCGAGATCGTCCCCTCTGACATTGACGAGACATTTCAATTCCGATAAAAACAACAACAAAAAAAAAAGAAGAAAAACAGAGAGAGAGATATATATATAAGTAAATAAAACACCACGTCTGTAGGAACGACGCCGTTGGCTCGATAAAATGGTAAAAAGTCCGGGTCCCCGCTATGGTAAAAAGGCGTTTCACTAAAAAAAAAACATCGGGAGAATTCGCGTTAAAACGTTAAAAGAAAAAAAAGAGAAAAAAAAAAACACGTCGTAGCCGCGGGACGATTTCGAACGCGCGAGATTCTACTATTTTTTTTCCGCGATTTCTCGTATACCGTGTATCCAGGTAACCAGGTCGTCGAGAAATTTCAACGGGGAAAGCGAGACGGCGCTAACGCGTTTTCTTTTTCCTTTATTTTTTGATTTCTCTTTTCATATTCCGCGATACGATAGAGACACGAACTGAAAATTTCGAAAAATTCCGCGGAGGATCGCACGATCGATTCGTCTCGTTCGCGAAGAGGAGCGTTTCCACCGACGGGGAAATCGGTCGCGATGCATCTCGACGAGCGTCGGGAATTTTCACCAATTAACCAGGATATCACTGACTTCTCTCGCACCTGAGTCTTTCGGTATACGTCGGTTATCGTTTTGTTTTTTTATCGTTTTTTCATTTTTTTTTTTCGCTTCTTTTTCTTTTTCTTTCAGTATACTAGTACGCCGTTGCACCGCGACGAAGAAAAGAATCGAGCGTCGTTTCGCGTTGTCCGTGCCTCGCAGGAAGCTTGATCTTTTTTCCTCGCGAACGCAGTCAATATCCGGAGGATCGCGTGCATCTTGCGGACCGCGGATGGAACGTGAAACGACGAGATCGATGCTTCTCGTTGAACGTCTTGCGGCACGCGGCAAGAGCAGTGTGTGTTTACATTAAAATTTTTATACAAGATTTTTTCGTGTACGTGGGCGTATTGAAAATATCGATAAAATTTGTCTCGTATGCTCTGCGTTCGCTTTCTTTCGTTCCTTCGTTCGCGTCCTCTTTCTCGCAGGCCACCCTCGCGCAGTTCCTTCCTTCTTTCCTTCCTTTCGTTTCATCCCCCCTCCCCCCTACCCCATCGCCGAGTGGTAACCGAACCGAGCGACCTCGAATTTAACGTTCGAATTCCTATTTTTCTTCTTTTCTTTTCACGCGTTCGATTCGATTAAACTTTCAAATCTTCTTCCACCGGAGGGAAATTCGCTTTACTTGCGTTCCTTTCTTTCTTCCTTTCGTCGATTTCTTCTCCGTCGTGTCGACGACGCCGGTTCTTATTTAACGTTCGTAAAACTGAATTGAAACATTTCATAACGAAACGACGCGGACTGTTTTCTCGAAACGGGGCTCCGTGCGCGTACGCGCGCGATAGCAAAGACAGTGACTTCTGGGAGGAAAACGGTACGAGAAAGGACGAGAAAAGTGTCGGGATCGAAGTGGCCCGTCTTATCGTCGTGATTTCATTCGACGACCGGTTTCGAGACAGTTCCAAGACCCGTTCCAGCGAGCATACACGGCGATTACATTACACGAGCTGTGCGTTGTTTCAACGATCCGACAGAACTTCGATCGGCCCTCAACACCGATCAACAGTTTTTTCGTATCGAGGGTCGTCGAGATTTCATCTCGTTTGTCCCTCGCCAAAGTTGAGAAAAATTTCGACGAATCGTACAGTCGAGCTTGAATCGCTGGTAATAATCAGCCGAAAATTCGTTGGTTCGTTTCGATCCTGAGAATTTCATCGCGAAAATGTCGCGGAAAATCTCCATGAAGATCTTCCCGTTGATTCGCGAAATACTAAGCCAATGGTTACCTCTCTCCACTTTACGTCTCACGGGGGCCAATTCGTTTAACATCGAACGATATATATTTCTTCAACCTTTACTCTACGCGAAATAACACGCCTGTTTGGAGAATACTGGTCAACACTGTATTGCTTTCGATATTGTTCTTTTACTTATTCTTTGTTTTTTTTTTAACGTGGAAACGACTCGATAATTGGGCGGCTAAAGGAAGGAAGGATCACAAATCGAAAGAAGACGAGAACGAAAGAAACGAAAAAACCAATGTTTGTCCGAATGTACGATATTCCTCGTTGTCGCTCGTTACTTCTCTTTTCTTTTCTTTCTTTTTCTCCCTCCACCGTTCGCCGAGGATCCTCTCACTGGTCCACAGATTCTCCGTTTATTACCGAGCCCTTTCACCTCCCCGCGGCGCGGCCAGAGGAAAACGAAAACGACAGAGACGAAAAAGAAAGGAACGGGAAAAGAAGCGGTTCGCGGACAGCATCTCTCGTGGAACTTTGCCAATCTCGGATTTCCCCTTGCCCTCCTCTCTTCCTCCCTTCTCACGCTCACCGCGGCTCAATTAACTATCTTTATTATATACAATATATTATATTCGTTAAATTGTTGATCATTGCATGTTCCTTCAGATCCTTGCGATTATCCGTTTCTTTCTTTTAATTACATTCAATTATCCGTTTCGTTCTTTCTTTCATTTATTTTTGGCGCGGGCAGACGGGGCTTAGGTAATAACGCTCATTTTCACGCGCGTCAGTGTGTGTACGTGTATGTTTTTCTCTGTATGATCGTGTACGTGTATGTTTTTCAGTGTATGCGTGTCGATTTCTATGCGTACGGAGCCGGATCAGGTGGGGAAGGAGGAATCTGACTGTATCGTCGAGCTGTGGATGAAGAACCGTCTGATCCACTCGCAGGTATCTATATTTTCACGTATTTATATATTTATATACATATATAATTTTTTGTATATATATATATACCTTTTTCATAAATATATATATATATATATATATATATAAAATCCCTCACCAACTATCGCTCGCGTATACTATCTTGTTTCTCACGTTCACACGTTCCACACACGCACCATATTCGTATCCGTTTCTGCGTATTTTATTCGCTCTCATCTTCCGGGTTTCTCTTTACCAATTTACCTCCTCCTCTCTATTCCTCCGCTCTTTCGGCTCAGCGTCTCCTCCAGTCCAGTACGCACACACCGAACACGGCACAACACACACGAGAATAATTATCGTCCCAAGGTGTCCAATTAAAACGCTCGCTTGTATATATATATTACAATCGGAGAGGGGGGGGGGAGCCACATGTTACTTCAGTGTGTGTTATGTATATATTTATAATATATAATTACTTCTTCCTTTAATTAGTAAATTCATTTATAATTAATAACTGTACAAATTTCAATGTCACCTATATATATATGCAAGTGAATGTGGTCGACGCTCGAGTCCGGCACACGCGTCGATTTCACTTCTCTTCTGTGTTCTAAAAAGTTTTATCGTCCCTTCTTACCCACCTTGTCGTCCGTTCTCTCCGTTTCGTTCGTTATTGTATCTCCAGTCTTACGTTTGTCCCGTTTCCTATCCTCTCTTCTGCCCTCGCGTTCGCGTTCACGCTGTTTGTACGCGCGCGTGCGCGCGTGCCCCGTTCCTTAAACGTACGAAACCAAACGTTCGCTTTCCAAATCTTCCCCGCATTCCTTGTACATACGTATCTTCTAGTCGGTTCTCTCGAAATAAAAAGAGAAAAAAGAAAAGAACGCCAGCCACCGCGCATCTAAAATTCTTTTCTCTATATATATTTATTTATATACCCGTATATATCTATACACATGGATGCGTAATTGCGCGCGCGCGTGTGTGTATATATATATACATACATGCTGCATTCTCGTATCGTGTCTTCTTCAATTTCTTTCTTGTCATTCTCTTCTCTGCGAGAATTTCCCCACAAATCCTCGCTTCTCCTTCAGAGCGCGTGGACATCTATCCTATTAATAAACCGAGTTCGCGAGCTTAACACCTTCAGTTGCTCGTTACTCTTTTTTTACCTCTTTTATTTTTCCCCCGCTTTCTACCACCCAGTTTTTGTTTATTTCCATTTAATGTACACATGCCCGCTAGAAATTGCCTATATCACTCTTTTGCTCGAGGTAATTCCCTCGTTCGTAGTTCGAACCCCCCCGCCCCCCCCCAACCCCCAACCCCCTGTTTTCTCTCTTCCTAACGTAATCGTTAATTAATAATAGCTCGATCGCGACCGTATTAAAATTTAACATTTAAATTTTTCGATCACTACAATATTACACCGCGACATTTGTACACAGAACAATCACATGTGAATTTCCTTTCGCTCTCTTCGCGGCTCCACGTAAAATCTAGTTCGCACTGAGCCGCGCGCGTCCTTCGCTCTTTCGTTTGTTGTTTTTTTTTTTTTTTTACTTCTTCCTCGTCTAGTCGTCTTGCTTCCGGTTCCACACGCGTCGTGTGTCGGTCATTCCCTCGTTCGTAGGGATCCGGTGTATAAAAGCCATTCTTCTCCTCTGTCGAACGAACCCGTCGTCCTTCGATTCTTTCCTTCTTTCCCTCGAATCCACCCGATTTCCTTCCCCCCTCCCCCCTCTCCCCCTATCAGGGTACTTGGTTTCCGAGCCAGAACCGGACCGGCGGCTGCTGCTGCTTTTCCATTTTTTTGACCGTCCGCATCGTGTGCTTCCAGCTCGTACGTGCAGCCGACACACCACGTGAGCCTCGACGCCGCCAAGAAGCACCTCTGCAGTTCTCCGAAGGCGACGAAATCGCTTCTCGCTGCCCCCGTTGCAAGCACCTTTCTTTTAAACCTCACCCGGTGCGTGCTGTGTTTCCCGTTCCGCAATAACCGTCATTCCATCGTCTATCTTCACTTGCGACTACTGCTGGAACAAGTGACAGATCGAACGCAGATCGTTAGTAAGACCGTTCGAGAAAGTAATTTTCGGGCACGCCTCGAGAACGATGGAAAGAACGTCTTTTCTTCATCATGCTAAAGGACGGAAACTTCGGAAACCAACGATTGTAATTTTGAAGTGATGGACAAGTTTTGTTTTTGTTTTTTAGTTTTTTATTTTTTTTTATTTTTTTTATTTTTATTTTTATTAGTTTTACACTTGGTGAAGAGAAACGGTGAGGTAGTCGAATAAGTAATTTTTTCAGTTAGGTAAAATAACTTTCAGGTTGGGTGAAATAATTTTTAATGAAGAACAATTTCGGTACACATACATTATGGGTAATTTTTTTTTTTTTTGAATAGCAAGGAACTGAGAACTAGACCAATAATACCAGATTAGATTGTAATTTTTAATAACTTTTTATTGCTTTGTTCAATAACATTTGGAGGGATTGATACTGAGTGACACTGAATTTTTCTAGCAATTTGTTTCGAATTCAACCCTTTTATCGTCAGCGGCCCTGGGCGCGTGTACGAAATTCGCCACAGATCTGCGGCATTGTCGTTTGAATGCGGTTTCGATTGAAATAAAATCGAAGTGTAACGCGAAATAATCGAAATCCATCGACGAATAGATAAAGTTCGCCAACGTGTAAAGTAAAATAAATAAAATTCATCAAAGTGTCAAGTAAAATAAATAAATTCCGACGAACCGACCCTGACATGATTTTCGCATGTGCCACGCGTTCCGAACCGGCGGTAAAAGAGTTGATCGAAGAAAAAAGAATATTCGCATTAGTTCAAACACCGTACAATTATTTACAGTCATCTACAGTTAAAAAAAAAAAAAAAAAAAAAAAAAAAAAAGAAAAAAAAACGAAACATAAAGCTGAGTCGAATTTTTACATAAAAACTTAATTAACTTAAAAATTAAACGATCGAAGTAGCGAAATCTTCCTCGAACTCTCGTCGAATTGAGAATCGATTCAAGAATGTCGCAGAAAGAAATCAAGAGACGGACAATGTCTCTCCAACGTATCAATTCACCTCATCATACCGCATTCACTCGATACTCTCAAAGTTTTTTCCTCCATGGTAAGAGCGACGTCCCTTTCGCAAAATTCCACAAAATTCCTTTGAACCACGGGTTTTCGTCGACCGGTGTTTCATCAACCAATTTAACCATCCGTTCGATCTTCCTCCGAACTGGCCGTCAATCTTTCCATCGTGCTCTTCATCGAGCTCTCGCCGAGTCGATTATCAAATATCAACGATGGCCGCCGAACGAGGGTCGTCGTGTCGAACGCCGCAACACGAAACCAGCCGAATTACTTTCCCACGTACCTTTATAAGTGATGTCCATAGTACTCTGGCGGGTAATGGTACTGATTGTGGAAGGTGGGATCACCGGGCGGCCGGTGCATCATGCTCGCCGCCTGTCCGTCCATCATGTATCCCATCGTCGCGTCCGGACTGTATGCCCCGCTCGGACCTGCGGACAATGGCGGAAACACTACACGTTACTACGGTTAGATCGCTGTCCCGCGATCGGCGGGGAGGTATTGGAAAAGCTAGTCGGATCCCAATGAAAAAAGCATCGTTCGGCTGCGCGTTTCTTTCTACCCTCGGCGGATAGGAGGGGATGCTAAAAGAAACGGCAGGTTTCCTTCACGCTGCGAGAAATCGGGATCCAACCAGCTTGTGTATTTGATTGACAGCCGATGTCACGCGTGTTGTTTTCTCTTTAGCTTTTTTTTTCTATCTTGAAAGCGATGGAAGCGAAGTCCGACGTAAGTTAGGCTCTAGATGTACGAAGCGTCAAGTTTGTGTAAAATGCGATAGCGAGCAGAGAGAATGAGCGATTACGTCCCTCTCGTGCGAATTGAAGCTCAATTTTCAGGCCTTGACATACGAGTCAAATAAAATTCGATGTAAGTAGAAAATGATGTTTAGTTTTCATTTCGACACTCGTGTAAACTTAATAAAGATTATTTTTGTACTGCATTCGATAGTCCTTAGGAAGCGCACGACGTCAAAACTTTCGAAACACGATGTTGTATGAAATAGGCAAAAAATTGACACCACTTTAAATGGCTGGGACATTTTTATCGAGAGATTTGAAAGTTCTAGGATTTAAAGACTAATTCTTTAAAATCAGGATTTAGTTCCTAGATTCTGTTCTTTTAATTTTTCTCATTTTCTGTTCTTTTCTCTATTGAAGTCTTTGCACTATTGAAACTCATCTTTAAAACAGTCATTATTCATGTAGGAACCATTTTATTATCACAAAAGTTTTACGAATACAATTTTATTATTTTAACACTGTAACAATCAAATCCGTTAATATCATTCAAACTTTCGTGAGAAAGGACACGAGTATTCTTGTCAAAATTGATATTAATTTCTGTTTGACCAGAGAGTGTATAAATCTATTTATCTCAATTGTCATTTACATCATAATCTGTTGATCTCAATTATATAAATCTATTTCATCTCAATTATCATTTAAATAATTTATAAATAATTATAATAATTTGTAGAATATTCCGACGCTTTAATGTTGACAGATATTTTCATTTGTTTAGTTATATAAACTTTTTTGGACAATCAAAGTCAAATATACATGTATCGTTTCAAAATTTTTGAATTATTCGTTACAACCATCCATACCTCAGCTTCTTATCGCATATTTCAGAAAACCAGGACAATGGACACAGTATCGTTAACTATCTCAACGTGATCTTTGAAACAACGAATTATATTTATTATTTTCCTTATAAGTTCAAGTCACAACGAATCATCGTGACATCGACTACATCCGACGCGTTCATGTCACCTATCCCACAGAATCAGCCAAAAATTCATCATTCCCATTTGAAAAGTGTATATCAATATATTCGTCCGTCTGAAGCACCCCGGGTGACCCTAATACTGGCAAAGAGACACGGACCGGAAGCAGAAGCGACGCCAGCAATTCACTCAGGTCTCGACATCAGGGGATTCAATCTTCGTCTTCGTATATCGAAAGTGGTCGACGCGACGACAGCTCCTCTCTCTCTCTCTCTCTCTCTCCCTCTCTCTCTCTCTTTTTCGTAAGCGGTAATGGAGCCAGGAATCCACGGGAGGCTCCCCTAGTTTTAATGTCGGTATCTTAATGTATATTGCCGCGATAAATCAAGGCCACTGATTGCGTCCTACCCTCGGGCACCAATACGCGAAGAAACGGGGAGATCAAACGGGGACAAGAGAAGGAAAGGAAGAGAGAGAGAGAGAGCAAGAGAAAGAGAGAGAAAGAGAGACAAAAAGAACAGAGAAAAAGAGAGGCGTCATCTCGAAATCTCCGTGGCCGTGCCTGGTCATTGTCGAACACTCTTCCAAGCTCTTTCTTATGCTAAATCTTGCCGGGCTATCTCTCAGGGAGCGATATTGCACGTCTATTGGCCGTTTATTGCCTGTCGAACGCGAGCTCGTTTCGCGAGTGCCTCCGTGTACCGGTCAGACTGTTGCGCCAGGACTTGGTTTCTTGGTAAAATGCTTCTACGAACGCGAGTAATTGTTCCCTCGCGTTGATAAATAGCGGTGGTGTACAGCGTGTATGTATGTATGTGTGTGTGTGTGTGTGTGTGTAGAGATGAAGCGTACCGGAGGTTGCGATAATCTGGATGGATAGCTGAACGCGAAAGTAATTTCGAATAACTCGTGATTTATCTCGAGGAGATGGGGAATTATTTCATCTTCGCCGACGGTTATTGTAATTTGAAAGTTCGGAATTTAGAACACGCGGATCTCGTCGAGACGTTCGTTGTATCATGCAGCAGCGTTCTTTGAACCACTGGTTTCTCCTTGCGCCAGACGGACACGCTTAATTACGGATCCACGATCCACTGAAGTTTCGTTTTTTGTTAGTTCCAACTGTAACTTTAATTCCGCATAGAATTCGCTGGATGTTAATTACGCACGATATTTTTTTTTCAGCATTTTGCTTTTGTTTAACATGGTGTTACATCGTTCGTACGTTATTTAAGAAAATTTAAATTTATTAAATCAAAAAATTATCTCTCGAATCGAAAAGGAGGTTAAACGCAATTGCAAGACGCGAGCAACAAAAATAATTTTTACACAAATTAATTTTTTTTCTTTTTTTTAGGGAACACTGACAAATAATTTCATCTTAGCCTCTCTTCATTCCTTTACTCGCGTGTATATGTATCAATTACTTTATTCTATCGCGTTTCACATTAATTAATACGGCGCGTGATCGAAACTCCGAGAAGGAGAAACTTCATTCAAGTTTTTCACTTAAATAGGTTCGTTCCATTTTTATTATTATACGTTCATAGAATATTTATACATGCGTTTCTTGAAATTATTGAACAAACACAGCACTCGGAAGGTATCGATCGAAGTTTTAAATAACTAAAATAGAATTCAATTTCTTTAAATGGTAGATTCCATCTTTGTGAGACAAGTTGTAGCCATATATCTACATGAGAGAAGCTGCAGAAGTTTCAGTTTTATTTGAAAATTTGCTGAATATTTACCGAGTGCTCTTCATTTCAATTCGAAACTATTTTGAAATTTAAAAGGAACCCTCCTTACAAGAATCTAATCTATACAATTTTTCTTAGAAACGTGCAAAAGAACACGAACAACGAGAACCGATAATAACAACGAAAACCATTATCTCCAATAGATCCCGGGAAAGTCTGTCCAACATCCGCAGCCGACAAATAAAAGGAACATGACGATCCGACGAAATTGGCCGATTTCTTTCCCTATTTCTCAATTACGAAGCGTAACGAGGCTCGAGGCGCGCGTAACTTTCGATTCGCGGCCGATCTCGCGAGAAATAATCGAGAGAAGGGGCCCGTTAACGATGCAATTCGCACGCGGACTGGAGAAAGAGGCAACCAGCCGAGCATCGTGATCTCTTCGAACGTCCCCCGCGCGGCCGATTCCTTAATTTCCCGTATTGCAGCCGGTCCTGAGCGTCCTGCTGCGTTACAGCGCGGTTTAATCACGCAACGAGCGCGCGCGTTTCTCGTTAGTGGAATATCTCGCGGTGGCCATAACGAAGCGAGGCTAGATTCCACGACACGGTCTTCATGGCCGACGCGAAAGACGTGGCCAAAGCTCGGAGGAATCATTCTTGGGTTGGCGATAATCGTTTCGCGCACCGATGACTGGTGGAAAACGACTCTTACCGATCCTTTTCGCCGCGCGATCGTAAACCGGCAAAGGAATCCGACGTCGCAACAGTCTTCGGAGAGTAATCCACGTTGGTCGCGAAGCACGTGGTGTAAGAGACTGTGAAACGAGTCGCGGTTGCCGGATGATTATGATCCGACTTTTCGTTGGATGTTGTTATCTTGTGGCTTGTAGTCGGTAAGGACTGTGTGTTTTAAGTTCGAGGCATTTAAAAGGTATGTTTTGGAAATTACGATGAACTGTATTTGTGATACTAGAGATTGAAAAATATCTTTTATAATATAAAATCAATAAGTTCTTTTAATAATACATAAGTAACGCAGTGTCAGTAAGGATTTCCAAAAGATTTGTAACGCTAGTTTAAAAAATATAAACTGTGATAAAAACTCTTATGGTATAGTGTTTATGGAAATCAAGAAACATCTTTTAAAATATAAAATCGTGTGCAAAATGTGAAATATAAAATGTATACGCGTCTACGTATAGAATCAAGTAGCTGCTTCAACAACATAAACGACAATATTACTAATCAGAGGAATTCAAAAGATTTGTACTAGTTTAAAAAAAAATATGACGAATTATAATAGGCTCAATCTATGTGAGTTAACTATGATTTTAAAAATGAATGAATATCTTGCAAAATCAAGACTATCTTTTAAAACACCATGTATGCATAACACCTATCTTTGAATCGAGAAGTTCTTTTCAATGAGTTACCTATTAATTCGAAAGAAATAACTGAAAGATCTTTTGATGAAAAGAGAGATACAATTGCGGACAATAGAGTAATGAATGTGAAAGGACATCGAACAACGAGACGAAAGCTACTTACTTAGGATACTCCACAGCATCCAGTTTTGTATCGTCAACAATTCAAATTCACGACCATCCCATAAGTAACTTATCACGTATCTGAGAGACGCTGGAAGAGCGAGGAACAAAAGGATCGATGATATCTGGTCGTCAGATTCTTAACGACTGGGCCTATCGAACGATTCGCAAAAAGCATCGGGAGGCTCTCGAACGCTCTCGTTCCTTTGATCACGCTTTAATAAACGAGGACGAACTATCTGGAGATACGATCGCTGCGTTAATGGCACTTCTTACGGCGCCTTCGAGTCTCGTGGAGATAGCACTTCACAGTCGTAGAGGGAGTTCGTTAACCGAGCCCCCCCCCCCCCTCTCTCTCTCTCTCTGCTTCGTACAACGAGAAGACGACCACGTCACGGCGTTACATACTTTTCCTCAGGATCGAGACGTGCGAGCCTTCGAGCGACAGATGACCAACGACGACGACCACTCGAGAGGATCACTCGACGAAGAGAAACTCGACGTAACGTAATAAAGCTCGATAACCTAGCTGGGAGCGTGTCGTTAACGCGCGTAAATCCGTGAAGT